TCTCTCTCTCTCTCTCTCTCTCTGTGTTAAATAAATAAATAAAATCTTAGAAAAGAAAAGAGGACAAGACTGAAAAGAACAGAATATCCAGGGACTGTGGGACAACTACAAAAGTAACGTGTAGTGGGAATAGCAGGAGAAAGAGGGAAGTTTTGAAATTGTAATGACTGAGAATTTCCCCAAGTTAATGTTAGTCCCCAAATCACAGATCCAGGAAGTTTGGAGACCACCAGGAAGGATAAGTATCCCCTAAAACAACGCCTAGGTGTATCATTTTCAAACTATAGAAAATCCTATCGGAAGAAAAAAATCCTGAAAGATGCTAGAGAAAAAAACAGCTTACCTGCAGAAGAACAAAGAATTACATTTGACTTCCTCTCAGAAACTGTGCAAGAAGGAAATAGAGCAAAATATTTAAAGTATCGAGAGAAAAACTCACTAACCTAGAATTGTTTTTTTCTGTGAAATTATCATTTTTTTAAAAATATTTTATTTATTTTTTTGACGGATAGAGATCACAAGTAGAGAGAGAGGAGGAAGCAGGCTCCCTGCCGAGCAGAGAGCCCGATGTGGGGCTCGATCATGACCCAAGCCGAAGGCAGAGGCTTTAACCCATTGAGCCACCCAGGCACCCCTCCTGTGAAATTATTTTTGAAAAATGAAGAAGAAATAAAGACTTTCTCAAACAAATTGAGGGAATTTGTTGGTAGTAGACCTCACTTGCAGGAATTATTAAGTTATTTGACTTGAATGAGTCTCACTTGTCAGTTTTTGCTTTTGTTTCCTTTGTTTTTGGTGTCATATCCAAGATATCATTCCAAATCCAGTGTCCTAAAACTTTCTCTTTTGTTTTCCTCTAGGAGTTTTATAGTTTCAAGTCTTAACATTTAAGTCTTTCATCCATACTGATTTGGCTTTTGTGTGTGGCGTAAGGTAGGGTCCATCCCGTTTCAGTCTTTTGCATGTGGATATACTGTTTTCCCAGCGTCGTTTATTGAAGACACTGTGCTTTCTGATTATGTAGTCTTGGCACACTTGTTGAAGATCATTTGACCATATATACCAAGGTTTATTTCTAGGCTCTCTGTTTTTTACCACTGGTCTATGTGTTTGTCTTTATGCCATTTCCATACCATTTGATTACTGTAGCTTTGTAATACCTTTACAGGTTAGGAAGTGTGGGGCCTTCAGCTTTGTTCTTTTCCTCAGGATTGTTTTTGACTAGTTGAGGTCTTTGTTGTTCCATATGAATTTTAGGATTTTTTTTTTCCAGTTTCTACAAAGAATGCCTTTGGGATTTTGATAGAGATTACATTGAATCCGTAGATGACATTGGGTGATATGGACAATTTTGATGATACTAAATCTTCCATAAACATCCTCTGTATGTCCACTGTAAATGTCCCTCCATTTATTTGTGTCTTATTTCTTTCAGCTTTTTTTGGTAGTTTTCAGTGTACAAGTCTTTTGCCTTTTGGGTTAGGTTTGTTACTAATTATTTTATTCTTTTTGATGCTATTGTAAATGACATTTTTAAAAAATTTCCCATTAAGATTGTTTGTTGTTCGTGTATAAAAAGTGCATTTGATTTTGATGTGTTGATTTTGTGTCTACAACTTTGGCATTTGTTAGTTCTAATGGTTTTTTTTTTGTTTTGTTTTGTTTTGTTTGGAATCTTTGGGGTCTTCTACATATAAGGTCATGTAATCTGTGAACAGGGATAATTTTACTTCATACTTTCTGATTCGTGTAAGCCTTTTTTTTCTTACCTGATTACTCTAGCTAGAATTTCCAGTACAATGTTGAATACAAGTGGTAAGAGTAAGCATCCTTGCCTTGTTCCTCATCTTAAAGGGAAAGCTTTTAGTTTTTCACTGTTGATCTGATGTAAGCTGTGGATTTTTATTTATGACCTTTGTTATTTTGAGAAAATTTATATTCCTAGTTTATTGTGTGTTTTTGTCATGAAAGAGTGTTGAATTATGTCAGATGCTTATTCTGCATTGACATAATCATGTCATTTTTATGCTTTGTTTTGTTGATTTGCTGTATCATATTGATTTTGATTGGTATTGATATTGATTTGTACTGATATTGATTGAAACATGTTTGCACTCCAGGGATAAATCCCAGTTGGTCGTGGATGTTACCCTTTTAATATGCTCTTGGATTTGGTTTGTTAGTATTCGTTGAGGATTTTTGCACCTATTAAGGATGTTGACACTGTACTTTTCTTGTAGAGTCTGACTGACTGGCTTTGGTGTCAAGGTGATGTTGGCTTCATACAATCAGTTTGGATGTGTTCCCTCTTTAATTTTTTGGAAGAGTTTGGGAAAGATTGATGTTAATTAATTCTTCTTGAGGTGTTTGGTAGAATTCTCCATTGAATTTTTTGGTGCTGGGCTTTTCTTTGTTGAGAGGTTTTTGATTACTGATTAGGTATCCTTAGTAGTTACATAGTTGTGTTCAGATTTTCTCCTTCTTCATGACTCAGTCTTGGTAGGTTGTGCATTTCTAGGAATTTATCTCTTTCTTCTGGTTTATCTAATTGGTATCTAATTGTTCATATAAGTAGTCTTTTATGAATCTTTGTATTTCATACAAAGTCAGTTTTAGCACTGCATCTTTCACTTCTGATTTGAATTTTCTCTTCTTTTTCTTAGTCTGCTTAAAGGTTTCTCAATTTTGTTGATCTTTTCTAAAAACTCTTTTTTTTTTTCATTTTTTTTTTCCTATTGTTTATCCTGTTTTGTTTAGTCTTCTTTAGTCTTTATTATTTCCTTCCTTCTGCTAACTTTGGGTTTGTTTGTTCTTTTTCTGGTTCCTTGAGGTATAAAGTTAGGGTTCGTTTTTGAGATTTCTCTCCCTTCCTTCCTTCCTTCCTTACTGGATTCTGTTTTATTTATTTACGAGATTTACTTATTTATTTTTGAGAGAGAGCAGGGCTGGGGGAAGGGGCAGAGGGGTTAGAGAGAATTTCAACCAGACTTTGTGCTGAGCATGGGCCCTGTTGCAGGGCTTGATTTCATGACCCTGAGATCATGACCTGAACTGAAACCAAGAGTTGGACACTTAACTGACAGTGCCACCCAGGTGGCACTTTTTTTTTTTTTTTTACATTTTTTTAATGTAGTATTTACCACTATAAACTTCCCTGTTAGTACTGCTTTTGCTGCATCCCATAAATTTTGATGTGTTATGTTTTTGTTTCCCAAGTATTTTTTAACTTTCATTCCAATTTCTTCTTTTATCCACTGCTTAAGGATGTGTATTGTTTAGTTTTCATACATTTGTGAATTTTCCAGTTCTCCTTTTTGTTATCAATTGCTAGTTTCATTCCATTGTTGGTGGAAAAGACACTTGGTTCATACCAAATCTTCTTAAATTTGTTAAAACTTATTTTGTGACCCAGTATGTGACATGTCCTGGAGAATGTTCCATGTGCAGTGAAGAAGAATGTGTATTCTGCTGCTGTTGGGTGGAATGTTCTGTATACATCTGTCAAGTTGATTTGGTCTGTAATGTTATTCAGGTTGCCTGTTTCCCTGTTGAAATTCTGTCTAGATATTTGTTTTCTTTTTTTCTTTTGTTTTATTTTTTTCAGTCTTCCAAAAGTCATTGTTTATGCACCACATCCAGTGCTCCATGCAATTCATGCCCTCCTTAATACCTACCACCAGGTTCACCCAACCCCACTCCCCCCCGCTCCAAAACCCTCAGTTTGTTTCTCAGAGTCCACAGTCTCTCATGGTTTGTCTCCCTCTCTCATTTCCCCCAACTCACTTCTCTCCATCTCCCAATGTCCTCCATGTTATTCCTTAGGCTCCATGTATAAGTGAAACCATATGATAATTGACTCTCTCTGCTTGACTTATTTCACTCAACATAGTCTCTTCCAGTCCCATCCATGTTGATACAGAAGTTGGGTATTCATCCTTTCTGATGGAGGCATAATATTCGATTGTATATATGGACCACATCATCTTTATCCATTTGTCTGTTGAAGGACATCTTGGTTCTTTCCACAGTTTGGTGACTGTGGCCATGGCTGGCATGAACATTGGGTCTGTCTAGATATTTTATCCTTTTTGATACTAGGGTATGTTCTGATGTTGGGTGTATATACCATTCTTACGTCTTTCTGATGAATTGACCCTTTTATCATTATATATTGTCCTGTTTTTTGCCTCTTGTCAGTTTTTTACTTTTTTGGATATAAGTATGGCCACTTCTCTCTTTCAGTTATATTTGCATAGAATATCTTTTCACTTTTACTTTCATCCTCTGTATGTCTTTTTAAATCTAGAGTGAGTCTGTTGTAGACAGCTAATGGTTGGATCTTACTTTTTCTGATCCATTTAGCTACTCTGTCTTTTGATTGATGACTTTAGTCCTTTTATATTTAAAATAATTACTGATAGGGAAGACTTACTGCGTCCATTTTGTTATTTGTTTTTGACTGTTTTGTGGTTTTTTGTCTCTTTGTTCCTCCTGTTGTTTTCTTGTTGGTGATGGTGATTTGTTGTTGTTGTTGTTGTTGTTGTTGTTGTTTTGTGACATGCTTTGATTCCTTTCTCATTTCCTTTTTTGTATCTTCTACAGGTGTTTTCTTTGTGCTTAACCATAGGTTTTACACAAAGCGTCTCATAATTTTGACAATCTATAATAAACTGATGGTGCTTCAGAACTCTCTTTTACATGTCTCTCCTACATTTTATCATCAGTATCACAAATTACATCTTTTTATTGTGTAGCTTATTAATGTATTTTGTAGTTATATTTATATTTATGTTTTAACTTCTACACTAGAATTAAGTTATTGTTTTCATTTATTCTCTAAGTTATTTTCTCTTAGAAACAATTTGTAGAGTTTAACATTTGTTACGCACACTTTTGTGACTAAGTTCTAAACTTAAGTTTAAAAATTACTTTAAAACTTTTCATGATAAACTTCTATATGAGTTCAGTACATCTAATAAATTTTTTTGTTGTTTAAACAGAATTTTGAGAGTGATGGTCAGCCATATAGAAGAATATATTGAACCTATAGTTTTCTGAAGAATCAGTTCAAAGATCCAAAACATACAAAAGGTAATGAAAAGGTTGTATCTTAGAGTTTATTTTCGGCAAAATATATAAATGAATCCATATACGTATTTTGAAATACTAATTTGAGGAATGTTTTATTTTAAAATTTTTCCTGTTGTATTAATTTATTCCAAATGCTTATTGTATCAGCTATATTTAGATGCTACTTTAGATACTGAGAATCCAGTGATGGACAAGACAGAAGCTGTCCCTGCTCTCATTAGGATTGCATTCTAAAGGGAGGGAGGATAAATAATAGACAAACCAATGAAACATTTGTAGTTCAGTGCAGAGAGTAAAATGGATAATGTGATAGAGACTGGTGACTGCTTTCATAATTGATAGAAATATGAAATATTTGAAAGCTCTCATTGAAGAGAAATATTTCAGTTAAGATCTGAAGGGCAAGAATGTGCCAGCCCTGTGAAGATCTGAGAGAGGAGATTTACAGGCAGTAAACAAAAATGACCATAGAATACTTGAGGAACAGAAAGGAAAAATGTGACTAGAGTATAATGAGGGGAAGAGCATATGGAATTTAGGTTGGAGAAGAAAACTGGGAGAGGAACAGATTTATAAATTTGCAGAAAAAGTGCTCTGTAAGAAAGTGCTTTGTAAGAAGTGCTTTCTTTGTAAGAAAGTCAAGTGTTCTGTTTTGCTGTATAATATTTTAGGCACCTGTAAAATTTGTAGAAATATCAAAGGTAGTTGGATATAAGACTCTGAAGTTGAGAATCTGGTCTAGGGGTATGGATTTGGGATTTATTGGCATAGAGAGATACTTAGAGGAGTATGTCTGGATGAAATTATCTAGGAAGTGTACATAGACTGGGAAGGATGTAGCCTTAGGACATGCCAGTATTAATCAGAGGAGAAGGAACAGCCAATGAGATGGGTGAAAAATTAGGAAAGTGTTCTGTCACAGAAGGCAAAAAAAGAAAAGTAATAAATGCAGAAGTGATCAGTTACATCATATGCTACTAAGAAGTAAAATAGAGAGTAGAGTAAAGCAGCCATTAGATTTGGCAGCCTGAATGTCTTTTACAACTCTAATAAGAGTGAGCAATCTCAGTGGGATTGTGTGAAGGTGAAAGCCTGATTAAAATTGATGAAGAGAAAATGGGGTATTTCCAGTTGAAGATGGCAAAAAATGCAATTAAGTTCTATTTCTTCTTGAAACTCCATTAAAGCTAAAGAATTTTTTTTAACAAAAGACATAACTTCATAAGAACAAAGAGAAGGGGAGGAAAAACAATTAGAACAAAATTTTGGAAGCTGAAAAGCAAAAAGAAGTGTGATATCTATCTTATGGATCTTAGAATCCTGAGCCACCTATGAGAATGATGAGAAACTTTATGGCACTGTAGGATCTCTAAAATGTCAGGAATTGAGAGCATGCTTTACTTCTGCAAAGGAGTAAAAATGGGACTAAACACAGTCTGATTTGTTGCCAGTCTAAGAGGTGATTATATTTTATAGCTCCTTTTCTTGACCTTGGAATTCCAGGCAACTACCCAATCACTATCTTAGCAGGAGGCTAAACATTTATTCTCTAGGAAAGATAAAATAGCATGGTTGAGAATGGGAGTACCATATTGAAAGTAAAGAGATTAAAAACTTAGGCTACCAGATTTTTATAATTTTCAGTCAGTAGTTTAGGAGATTCTTTTCTGGAAATTGTAACCAGCCTAAGAGAAAAGATCTGAAGATACAGACTCAAAGAATTTCCCCAAAGAAATATTCCAACCTGGTATCCCTGCAATAAAGTTGATAGTCAGCAAGCCCTATCATACAGAGCTTCAGGGATCCTATTAGACCCCACCCTTAAATGAGCTGGTGGCCAGAGATCACTAAACATTTTAGGAAAACCTCTTATGTAAGAGCCAAATACAATGCCAAAAGAAAATACCAAGTTGGGGGCCGGCAGGCAGGTAAAAATTGAAATACAAAACTGTTGTTTAGTAGTTTCAGAGAGGTAAGAGGAGATGCTAAATCCATGAAACATGAAAGAAAAACAATTACATTAGAAATGAAAAACTCAGTGGAAGAGTGGAAAAGTAAAACTGAGATTTTGAGAGTAAAGCAAAGTTAAATGGGAGAGAAAAAAATAAGAAAATTGGAGCAACTGTCAGCATATCCAGTGTTGAAATAATGGGAATTCCAAAAAAGGAGAAAAGAATAAAATAAAGAATAGAGACTGATTCAGCAAACTATCCAGAATTAGAGGACATAAGTTTCCAAGTAGAAAGAGCCTATAGTATGAAAATTATGGAAATAAGTCCAAAATAGGACATATCACTGTTAAATTTTAAAACATAAGAGAGCTTCCAGAATAAGAGAAATAGGTCACCTGTAAAGATCAGTAATCAGAAGGCTTTGGGTTTCTTGAGAATACTCTGGAAACTAGAAGCATTGGAGCCTTCATAATGCTAAGGGAAAACTTACTTCCAATCCAGTATTCATTATGGAGCTAAACTGTTGATTAAGTACAGACTAATGACAGTTTCAGACTTGGGATATCTAAAAATACTTATCTGCCATGCCCCCTTTCTTGGGGAGTTATTGTAGGAGGTACTCAACACAAATAAAGAAGTAAACTGAAAGGGATGAAGCCATAAGATAGAAGAAACAGAAAATGCACCTTACATAGAAACCCAGGAAATCACCAGGAAGATTGTGAATAATGATCCCAAGATGATCGCTGGTTGCTGTTTATGGGGAACGTCCAGTCCCAACAGGAGTAGGTCAGAAGGTATCAAGATAAATAGGTGTGAGATTACATTGGTAGAATGTGTAATGTGTTTGAAGATATTAAGAGGATTTAGACAGGGAAGAGTTTGGGGTAAATTGGTGATAAGTTTATAGAAAAGTAAGTCAATAATAAAACAATGATTAACTCTAGGGAAAATTATTTAGAAAGGGAAGGCAATTGTATTATGCTGTATGGCTTAGCTGTGAATTGCCTTTATAGAGTCATTATAATGTTAACTGAATATAACCACCTAGCCAAAGTTATGGTACTGGGAATTTGGGCAAATATGCACATATATGGAGTAAGAATGGGGAATCAAAGAAAACTAAATTCGTATTTTTCTTAGTGGAATTCAGTGGGTTATGCCTGAAAAATAAGACTCCTTTGAGAGCAAAAGGAGACATTTTAAATAATTACATTGGGACAACTTGAATAATTAGGACTGTGTAGGTACCCTCCCTAAAACAGAAGGAATCAAGAGGTCACAAAATAAAGAATATTGGAGCGTTAACTGCCAGAAGAAATAGTTTAAGAGGTGAAAGTGGTGAAAAGTGGGAAATGGGGATCATAGGACAGAGGATTTCTGATTTTTTAATAATTCCTATAAAACTTTGTGGCCACTTTAGATCTGAACATGTATACAGTGGTGAAAATAAACACTACATTTTAAAGGAAGGGAGAGAATGGAATTAAATTAAATGGAATTAAATTAATGGAATTAAAGATGTTGGAACAACAATTGTGCTCTGCCACGCAATTTTCCTGCGAGAGGGAGCAAAAAAGGAAAGGTAGTACCTGAAGGGGGTTGGTGTGTCAAGGGTGGTTTTTGGTTGTTGTTGTTGTTGTTGTTGTTTTTAAGGTAAAATACTAAGTTGATAATCAGAAAAATCCAGTTATCAAGAGACAAGTTCATGATGTAGGAATGGAAAGCCTTGAGAGGTGATAACAGATGGGATTCAGAAGACTAGTGTTATGTCATTAGATATTGCACAGTTTACTTGTAATATAGAATGTGTTATTTTATGCGTAGGGATCCTTTTCCAAAGATGGATTTCCAGGCACTGAGATTTTCTGTTAATTATATTTAATGTTGCATGTTGAATTAAAAACATATCTGCTTCTGTATTTGGCAAAGTTTGAATGTTTTATAATCATGTTTTATGATCATGACCTGAACCACAATCAAAAGTTGGAAGCTCAACTGACAGAGGCACCCAGATGCCCCAAGAAAAAAGATTTTTAATAATAAAATTTGGTCTGTATTAGATTATATAGTTGAACCCCATGCTGTCTATAGGGACATTGCTTATTTTTAAAAGCTGAATCCTTAGAATCCATAGACTGGAAAGTATGACTCAGGATAGTTTTTTTCGTACTGAAAATGTGAGGCCTCGGATGGTTCTAAAATAAGACCTTTTGGCTGTTCCACCATTACCCTTGTGTTTTGATAAAATTAATTTGGCACTATTTAAAGAAGTCATAGTCGGCCCTAGAGTACTTAGTTGGGCCCATTTCACTTTTCCCCTTACTTTTCCCTTAAATATATCCTGTCACTTGTCTAGAAAGGGAAAAAAAAAAGATCTTGGACTAGACTGGTAGAGAAACATAGTCTATGTCATTCAGTTAGCAGCACAATAGATGTTTGGAAAGCATATTGTTAATGACATTAGTAAAATAGCCTAATAAAGCATCGGCCTGTATCTTCTAAACCATTTTGGGTTCAGTTATGATGGCCCTTGATATAGTCTAGGCCCTAATTCTTGGGGTCTTTTTTTTCTCCTAGTTTGTCATATTTTCTACCTTTCGATAATTAAAGAAGCATATACTTGGTGCCACTTAACGCTCAGATCTGGCCTTTTAACTTGAAAGTGAAACTGTTCTTTTTTAATTCACCCAACTTGGCTGTTACCTTTGCATCGTTCTTTTTGTTCTAGTGATAGAACCAGCCTCTGTCATTACCGTGATGATAGGTTTGTCTCTTAGAGAGTTGTGCTTGGGTCATCTTTAAAGTCTCCTCTAACTCCCAAATTGTGTAATTCCACGCTCTATCTGCTGATGTTGACCCAGACACTTAAAACCAATATTTTATCTAGTGTTAGTTCTTATTTTTACCTCTGACTCCACATTCATTTTCTTTCAAGAGCTCTTAGCCCTTTGCAGTCTCACTTCTGTAGCCATTACCACATGGGCACTGGAGCGTCATTGAGCAAGGACCATTCCCTCGCTCCTTTGTGCCTGTACATTTGAAAACAGTGACAGAACAGTTCAGACTCCCATGTTCTTAGGACAACTTCCATCTGTTCTCACCTAGAGTTCCACCTTAATTTATAGTATTTTCTAAATTTTAAACAAAAGATATAATAGTTAAAGTAGAATTCTCATGCCTCAAAACTGTTAAGGTTTTTATTAGCGTTGAGGTGGTTGTTCAGTATTTAGTTCATAGCTATAGGATATGAGTATTTTGTTTGAATAAAACCTGCCTTACACTTTATAAAAACTGTAGAATACAGGATGACAAATTTTAGGCTTAAGATTCTGTTTTAAAGTAGTAAATCTTAATTCCTTCAATGTAGGTAGGAGACTCCTTATAATAAAGCTCTTTTCTCCCTTTTTTTTCCTCTTCTCTTCCTTTTCTTCTTTTTTTTTCCTTTTCCTTTCATTTCTTTTCTCTTCATTCATTTTATTTTTCAGTAATCTTTACACCCAGTGTGGGGCTTGAACCTCTACCCCGAGACTGAGCTGCATGCTGTACTGACTGAACCAGCCAGGCGCACCCTAATAAGGCTCTTTTCTACTTGTCTTACCTTCACCCTTCTATCCACTCTTATTCTCATTTTATGCTCTAGTAATTACACTTGAAGTTGTAACATGACTGGATTTTTCCCTAAAGAAAATGCTAACCCTCTTTAGTCTCTCAAATAGGGTGCTCCCTTGTCTCATAAAGGCCTGTGCCTTTGCAAATTGCCATTCCTGTGGCTTTCCAGCCTTTCACATATTACCTTCTCTTGTCCTCTAGTCTATTATTTCTCATACCCAAATGGTCATACAAATCACATGGGGACCATGTTAAAATGTAGATTCTGATTCAGTAGGACTGTCTTCTAACAGGGTCTCAGATGATGCCATTGCTGATGGTCTCAGCACCATATTTTTAGTAACAATCTAGACTACCTGACAAATTCATTGTCATCAAGACTATTTCCTCTGACTCCTCTCTGTATACCTTCATTATCCTTTTTATTATTCTTTAGGTATCTGTCTCCCTATTCAATTGCAGATTTTTGCCTACAGGGACTTTGTGTTTTCTTCTTGTATTCCTAAAGCTTAGCCTACTGTTTAATAGAAAATAGGTTTTTAACAAATATTTGTTGTTGATTCGATTTTTAAATTAAAGAATAGTTGACATACAATGTTGTATTAGTTTCAGGTATAAACAGTGAGCAATTGTATACATTATACATGCTCACCATGATAAGTGTAGTTACCATCTGTTACCATACAATGTTACTACAGTATTATTGACTACATTCCCTATGCTGTACTTTTTATTCCCATGGCTTATTGATTTCGTAACTGGCAGTTTGTACACCTTACTTCCCTTCACTTAGCTCACTCATCCTCCCACTCCCCTCCCCTCTGGAACTATCAGGTTTATTCTTTGTATTATGACTCTGTTTCTGTTTTGTTTTGTGTTTTAGATTTCACATATAGGTGAAATCATATGGAATTTGTCTTTGTTTGACTTCTTTGATCCAGCATGATACCCTCTATGTTCATCCATGTTGTCAAGATTGGCAAGATTTCATTCTTTTTATGGCTGAGTAATATTCCACTGTACACATACACATACACACAGCATCTTCTTTATCCATTCATCTGTCTCAGTGGGCATCTAGGTTATTTACATATCTTGACTCTTGTAAATACTGATGCATGAACATAAGGATGTATGTATCTTTTTTTGAATTATAGCCTATTCACAGTTACATACTCTAATTAATCTATATACTAAATATTAAGAGTGGCCTTTTTTTACTGCTTTATAATAGAAAATGAATCCTCAATTTTCTTCCCCTGTGTTCCTTTTTTTAGAAGGGAGCCTCACATTTGCCCCGGTTCTAGGTATTTGCTTGAAAATAATGTTTCAGCCTTGGGTACAAACCAAAACATTTAAATTCTCTATGATAACATACAGTGTTCCTCAATATTACTATGTTTGTAGAAATACATTTTTTGAAAACTAATGACTGTTTATTTTTCCTTCCACCCAAGGAGAAGTACAAATGTCTACCACAAGACGAAAACGTAATATGTTATGTTGTTTACCGTAAGCTGTAGTAAAATGAGCTCAATTGTTGACAGGTATGTTTTTAGAGACTCTTTATTTTGAATCCTATAAAGCTATTTTAAAATTTATTATTAAAGTAATGGTCTGTATCATACTGATAAAAGGAGTTTCGTATTTAAACATAATTCCTATTACACTTAATTTCCATATTGAGCAAACAGAGTGTAATAGTAAGACATACTGTTACTATCTGTAGCCAAAGTCAACAGCATATGGTTTGTGTCCCAAACAGATCATGAACTATAATTTTGAGTGTTTGGTCAGAGCTGCCCTGAAAGAAATTGTGACAGTGGCAGATGTTTCCTTGGCTTATTGAAGAAGATTCTTATGGAATCTTCTATCTCCTTACGTCTTATTTTTTTCTCCTTATTGCTGCTAAGTCCATCCCTTTAAGTGTTTTAGCATTTGTGATTGATAAGTGGTAACTTTAATTAGGATTTTATTAGTTAAAATTACAGTCTTTAAATCATACTCTCACGTGTAGGATAAACCTTGTTTCTTTGATTTTAAGACTTTTGTTTGTTTGTTTACGTTTTAACACCTCTGAGATTCATCTTACAATTGCCTTATCGTAGTTTAATTGGTAGCATTTTTTTCCCAATGTGATGGCATATAAAATACTGATAAGTCTTTATAAAGATTAATGGTGTTTTTAATTTGATGAAATACAGTAACATATTTTAAGCTCTTATTCTTTGACAGCTCTTTGTTGTCGAGTACTTTTTATATGTTATTTCATTTTACTTCCTAGTAATGCCATGAGATTTTACAGCTGAGGAAACAATAGGTCAGGGAGGTTGAATAACTTGTTTAAGGTCACATAGTTAAGTGCTGAGCTGGGATTAGGACCTGTTTTGGTCTGTCTGACACTCAAGTTCCTGTATTTTTATTATAGTGTACTGTGTGATTCTTCCGTAGGGGATTCTTTAAGAGTTTTGTAGCTAGACTTGTATACAGAAGTGACCTTTGACGTCTGGGGCCAGCCCGTCTCCCTTTCCTGTGAGATAAACAGTGAAGATACATACTCTACCAGAACTTAAGACCTAAGGGGCAAGGAGTTTCCTTAGAGAGGCCTGCCTGCAGCACTGCCATAGATTTGGGCTATGCCATATTTTCAGGTGGGCTCTATGTGTAGTTGTCTCCTCAGAAAGGATGTTCCTTCAGTACTCCTAAATGGTTAAATATGATTGTGGTATTATGCTTCTTGATGATTGCCAATTCTCATTCTAGACAATATGACATCTAGAGACAACATCATGTTCAGACAGAAGCAGTGATTCTTAATATGAGTTAGTTATCTCTGGGAATATCATGAAAGTTACGGACTTTCTCCTCAATAATGTGCATATACATACAAAAGTTGTCATAAATTGCAGTGCACACATGGAACCCTGAAAGTCCAGACATGGAACTCTATAATATAAAATTTGTAGATATTCTCAACAGTGGGTCCAACAGACACCATATGTGCCTTTGTAGGCCTCAGAAAGTTGCGGTTAAAGTAGTGAATAGTGAATTCTTATAAAGGTCATATGAAAATATTTAATATCACTACTTAGGTTAAGGAATTAGCCACCGGTGCTCATGATTTTATTTGTTAGAATGCTGTTTCCCTAGATCTTCCCATAACCAACCCCTTCTTGTCACTTAGATCTCAGCTTAAATGTCTGCATCTCAGCAGGTCCTTTCCTAACCACTCAGATTAAAGTAACATCACAGTAACTAAAAAATCACCCCTTTTTAAAAAATATAAAACTTGTCATCATATATTTCCTTCTTGATTTATTTTGTTCTACTAGAAAATAAGCTGTAGGAAAGGAGGGATTTCCGTGTTTAACTGTTTTAATGCTGTGTAATCATGTCCAGAGCAGAGCCTGGCACACGAGTATTAGTAAATATTTGTCGCATGAATCAGTATTGAATGAATTGTAGTAATATAAGTATATATAAAAGCTAGATACTGTGATGTTTATGAGTAATTTGTGGCTTTATAACATGAATGTCTCAAAATTTTTTAAGCCATGCTATTATAATTAAAAATAATTTCAAATGAATCCTTTTATATAATGGCAAATACACTTTCTGTAGTTCTCATTGATTACTACCAGTTTGAAACAAGGTATTAACCTCTGATTAAATTAAATTCTGGTTTAGCATGTTGTATATATAGTACATAAGTAGTTTTGAAATTCACATTTGTGATAAACTTTTAAAAAATGTAATTAAACATGCATTAACTTTAGTTTTCTAATACTTGTTAGAGAACAGGTGAGCAGTTAATTCAATTTGAATTTGTACAATCCTTTAACTCTACAAAAATCCTAGGATAGAACTGATTTGATTCACATGTCATTTTGAAATTGCTGTTGCTCAATGAGTTTGCTCTTATTTTCTCTATCCACTTTCTTTTTTCTTTTAGAGAAGATGGTAGTATTTTTGATGGGTTGGTGGAAGAAGATGACAAGGACAAAGCAAAAAGGTAGTTCAACTTAAGATGTAAAGTAGTAAATAAATAAGTAAATGTAAAAGTAAGTAAATAGTAAATCAGTGGTTTCCAAAAGCTGTCTGCTTTAAGAACTTAGGTATATTAGCAAGGTGCGAAAGCTTAGAATATCAATATGCATTTTATAATTTAAGTAAAATTATCCAGTAAAAGTGCTCATTTCATTACATCATATTACAAGTATATAATATCTATAAGGCATCACTAAGGATGTTAACTTTCATCACTCGGCTAAGGTAGGGTTTGCCAGATTCACCATTATAGTTACTCATTTCCCCTTGACTTACTCTGTTCTTTGGTAGCAAGTTACGAAGTGTAGCCTACCTTCAGAGTAGGGATGTAGCCTACCTTCAGAGTAGGGATGGAGGGAATTAAGCTCCACCTCCCATAGGGAGGGATATCTATGCACATTTGGAATATTTCTGTAAAAACATTTTCTCCCATTTTTTTTTTTTATGTCTGTAGGGACTCATCGGTTTATTTTATGCTTTAGGTTATGTACTCCATGCTTTTTTATTTTATTGCTCAAATTGTTTCAGCTTTGGCGATTGGGAGTTCTTTCAGGGTAGGCCCCTGGGACCTCCCAATGCCTCCATTCTCCCAAGAGAGGGGAAAGTAGATAATGGGGAAAGGGAGAGGAGAATTGTTGGAGAGATATCCTCAACTAGGTGAGGGAATGGGATCTAGGGCCATGGTGGTATTGATAGGGGCTTCTACCTTAAATAGGAGCGTGGGCAGTTAGTTATAGTATCGGGAGGGGGAGAGTCCAGGTAGCATTATAGCAAAGTTTGTAGTCCCTCAGAGTGAGCAGTAAACACTTTCTGGGTTTTTTCCCCAGCTATGTTGAACTCTGTGGGTGCTTAGACAAGGGTAGATGTTGTTTTATACATATATATAAAAGATAAACATGTAATAAGTAATAGTTCTTACATGTCTGTATTTAGCCAAAAAAAAGGGAGTGGGGGTATTGGGATATAAAAAATGCAAACTTTAATGAATGGTTAAAATACATCTAAGAAGATTTTGTGGAAAACTATACAATGTTTCAAGGAAATAAAAAAAAGACCTGGATTTGAAACTAAAAATATATAGGACAACCCCTTATCCCTTAACCTTAGTCTGATGAAGGAAAGTTCTTCAGTCTTGCTTGAATGAAGAGGTAGAACTATAAGGAATTGACTTGGACGTTCTTAAAGGCCAAGCTTATTGATGGGTAAGGTAAGCTAAGGGTATTCTTTTTTTTTTTTTTTTTAAGATTTTATTTATTTATTTGACAGACAGAGATCACAGGCAGGCAGAGAGAAAGGAGGAAGCAGGCTGCCCACTGAGCAGAGAGCCCGATGTGGGGCTTGATCTCAGGACCCTGGGATCATGACCTGAGCCGAAGGCAGAGGCTTTAACCAGCTAAGCCACCCAGGCGCCCCGGGTATTCTATTTTTGAAGATTCTGAAAGTTTGATAATGTTTTTAGGGAACCAGAAATACTGTGGCTCTGAAAGATATCGGAGAAAGAAAAAGAATCTCACTATACTATCACAGTTAAGGAGTACCACACTGAACTCTGACTAAAACAATGATGAGTTCAAGTACCTTAGTGTTGACCTAAGAACAAAGGGAGTTTTATAGCCACCCTCAAAATGAACCATCTGTGGCCTGTTCTCAGTGAAGTTATCGTAAGGGCTGAGAAATTCCATCCTCCATGTAGTATGAAGTAAACTTTGCTTTAGTGGTTGTCATCCAGTGATAGAGTTGGCAGTATGTGATTTCTGTATGTTTTCTTCCCCTGGAATAAAAATGGCTGATTTGAATTACTACTTCATGGTAGCTATGTGGTACTGGGCACGTTCTCCTTGTGCCTGAGTTGTCACCTGTAAAATGAAATGAAAATGAAAAGTGGTAAGAAAGTCTACCTTATAGGAGTAAATGAGATTTCTTAAGTGCTTGTAGTAGTGCCTGGCACATCAGTGTGCAATGAATATTGGCTTTTATTTTTATTCCAGTTCATGTGTTCAGATACTTCATACATGCTAATTCTCAAATGCTTATTTCTTACTGTTTTCTGAAGGGATATAACTGGATTTGTATATCTAAGCCTCTTGTGCATATCTTTTAAAATATGCAACAGGCAATTTCATCATATTCTCTCCAAACCATCTGTCCACCAAAACCAGTATCACATGTTATTATTTCATATTAATAAACAGCGTTATCGGTAACTTGGGAGTCCTTGTAGGTTTCCCTTTTGCTTCCCACTGTAAACCTGGTTTGATTTACCTAGAATGGATAGTTCTGCCTCTTAACCCTCAAACCCACGCTGTTGTTAACACTGCCACTGCCATGGTTTATAGGCTAGGATGGTGCACTTGCCTTCTACATGGTGGTCATCTGGTGTCCAGGCTTGTTTGCCATACAGTAAGTTTTCAAGAGTATTTGTTAAATGACTTTGTTTCACCAAGCATTGATCCTTTCCTCACTCTGATGCCAGAATGATCTTATTAACGAGCTGTTCCGTTCCCATCATTTCTTTGCTTTAAAACCTTTCAGTGCCTTCCCATTACTTTCAGGATTAAATTAAAATCCTTTTATGTAACATAAAAACTTCATGATTTTTTCCAGCATTTATGTCTCCCACCCAGCCCCCAGCTCTAGCATACTGGGGCACAGAAAGCCTATTCATTAGCTGTGTTTAGCCATATCAGACTACTAGTGATAGGTTTTTGTTCCTGTACGAGCTTTCTGTACCTGCAGTGCCTTGTGTACACTCCACTATCATCCTTTTCTCATTCAGCCTTCATGATTCACTTCAGTAGATGAGGATGCCATCTGTGGTTCCTCTGAATTTCCATTGGAATTTGATAAATTTCTTGAAAGAGCTTGTGTTTTCTCAGTATCCTTAGCCTTTATTAACATAGTCTCTGTTATTATAGCAAGCACTCACTGTTTGAAGGAGGAGTCATTTCCCAGTAATAATATAGAATATATACTTCTTTGTTACCGAGCAAAAAATAAATAAAATTGTCCTCTGACCTTTTGGGAAATGAGTATAAACAAGTTTTGCTTAAACAAAAACTGAATTAGAAAATCTAACTTCACAAAGTATACAGTTAGAGGTTAGAGTAGAATGATTAGTTGCTATATAAATAATTGTATTTGCTTGTCTAAAGGTCTTGGTGCCACTCGATAAATGTTTACTGGTTAGCTACTTCACATACAACAGTACTAATTATTCATTTGGTGTGCATATTTTGAGTGCTTATATTTGTTAGTTGTTACCCTTAAGTGCTTAGGTGAAAAAATTGGGCCTCTGTTATCAAGGAGTACACAGCCTAATGGAAAGAGAGATGCAGACAAATGGTTCTAGCTCGGTGCCGGAGTCTGGCCATACAGGAATAAAGAGGAAGACTGAATGGATAAGCTTGAGGGTAGATTTTCATTTTTAGATTTGTTTGTAATTTAAAACTTACAGGAAATGGTTAACTTTCTCCTACCTAGTAATTTTGAATAGTTTGTATTTACACATTATATGCACTTCCACAAATATATCTCAGTAATACTCATAATAGCCAAATAAGTAAAATACAAATTTTTGGTAAATATTAGATCAGATACAACCTGTGATTTGAATGAGGTTTGTCTTATTGGCCTTTTCCTAAGAACATGTTTGCAAGTGCTGAATATGTTAAGTTCTTCAGTGATAAACTGAGAAGAAAATTACTGCCCTAGTTAACTGTACATTGTTGGTAACCTGTGGATAAATATTTATTACACCTATATTGATGGAAGTGCATACATGTGTAGTTGTGTCCAAAGCGAGCATTGTATTAAACTATGTGTGTAATCAAATGGATTGTTTGAAAGCTGCTTAATTTTTTTTTTCCATCAGAGTATCTAGAAACAAATCTGAAAAGAAACGTAGAGATCAATTTAATGTTCTCATTAAAGAACTGGGATCCATGCTTCCTGGTAATGCTAGGAAGATGGACAAATCTACTGTTCTGCAGAAGAGCATTGATTTTTTACGAAAACATAAAGGTAAAATTTTAACTTTATAAGACATGTTTTTAATAAGAGTCTTCTTTAAAGCATAATGTGATGGAATCTTGACAGTGATTCTTAAAATTGGATGCTTCCTCACCCTTTTTTGAGAGAAAGTGATCAATTGCCTTTTTAAAGGTTTCCTGGTATGTCCTTTATTTCATTCAACAAACATTTATTTAGTGCCTACTGTATCCTAGGTTCTTGGGGTACAGAATAGCAGTCCTGGCCCTCAGTTAACTCAAGCCAAGGAAGACAGATATGGAAACAGCTAATTTACATTGCAGATACTTAAAACATGAGTAACGTTTGCAAACAAAAACTTACCATGAGAACACAGAGGGGAAATGAATGTGTCAAGAAAACCTTAAAAATAGTTGATTTTGCAGCTAGTCTTCCTTTTAGATTAAGGAGAACAGCATTTCACCTGGAGGAAATAGGAATAGTGTGTGCAAACGCAGAGAAGCAGGAAGAGTTCAGTGTAATTGGAGCATAGTTGAGTTGGAATATCGTGCGTATATTTCAAAGAAAGGCAAGAACCACAACATGAGGGCCTTGTATGCTATTTAAAAGATTATTTCAGTGTATGTCTAGGAAATAAATACTGTTCATTAAATAAAGTGATTATTAATTGAAGAAAATAATTTTGACTGAGTTATGAAAAAGTTAAAGAATATTGAATGTTTTGGTAACAGAGATAATAGATGAAAAACTTGTAGAAGGACATGTCCTTTTCCAGATGGCAAATGAAACCATAAAACTTTTCAGAAGGAGAATTTGTAACTAGTACTTTCAGTCACTCCTCTGGAGCTCACTCAGTCATGCATTATCAGGCTGGTTTATGCTTCACCACTCTTCGAAATTATTTTTGGTAATTTCACAATTGCCAGCAGCCCCACCTGTTCTGCTGCCAGTCAGACAATAGCAATAGCTTTTTCTTATATCGAATGCACTGGAAATTTTTCAAAAAAGATTTATTTATTATTAGAGAGAGAGAGAGTCTGAGAGTATGAGTGAGGGGAGGCACAGAGGAAGGGAGAGAGAATCCCAAGCAGGCTCCATGCTTAGTGTGGGACCAGATTTGGGGCTCTGTCCTAGGATCCTGAGATCATGGCCTGAGCCAAAATCAAGAGTCCAGTCTCAACCCACTGAGCCACCCACGTGCCCCTGTGCTGGAAATTTTAATCCATCCACCACTGACTTTTTCTCCCTTGGCCTGTGTTATACTGCACTTCTTCATTCACCTCTCCTCCCTAACTGAAACTCTTTCTTTTTCCCCCCATATGTCTTCTCTTTTGTGCTCTTGTTTTATACTCTTTCCCTTGGTTATCTCATTCCATAGCTTCTATTGCCTCCTGTTAAACTACCATATCTGTATTTTTAGATGCAAACTTTTCAGTCTTTTGTTTCCATATAACTTCCAGATCTTTCTTTTGCTTGTGCTCAAACTGTGTATCTGAAACTGAATTCATTTTCATTTTGTCAAGTCACCTCTTTCTCTCACCTTTCCTTTTTACATTTTTACAACACTACCCTTTCAGGCCCTAGGACTCAAGCCTGAAAAGACAGTTTTTTTTCACCTTCCTTAGTACTGTATCACAGTTGCCAAATTCTGTTGATTCTTCTGTAAATGTGTCAAAATTGCTTGTTTTCCTTTTTTTATTGTCACCATTATCATTACATTTTACCTCTGCAAATCGTATTCTCACTAACCGTAGTGTCCCTTGTTAGCACACCTAGTCCCCTCAAACACTGCAGTTCAATAAATGATTGCTGAATGAAATGAAATCATATGAATGCATTTGCCCCTGATAATACAGGATTAATTCTGGCATTAAGTAGGTCAGGTTTTTTGTGTTTTGTTTTGTTTTGTTTTGTTTTTTCCAAAATTGGATATATAATTCTCATAAAAGCAACGTTTACCTTAAATTGAAAGGGAGTTCTTAAATACTCTAAGCCTGTGTTTAACTAAACTTGATGGATTTGCTTGTGGATTTAAATTCTTTTTCTGGATGTATATAATTGGTGTGAATTTGAAAAGCATGACTATATTCTACAGAATTAGTAGCTAGACTTCTTAGTTACTTATAATATTGTAATACAGGCATTTTCAATATGCCAAATGTTGGGTGATAATTTAATATCCTACGTTTATATATTTGCTAATAGAAAATCAAAACCACTTGGTCCCTACTATTCACTGCAAAGTAGAATATATTTTATAGAGTAAAATCTATGATACAGATTTTTATTTTGCCAAGTTGTTGAATATGTCTGCATTTAAAAATGGAAAAATATTTATTAACTAAATAGTTCAGGTTTCATCATTTATAGCTTTCTTGTAACTAAATCCATTAGAATAATGTTGCAAAATAAACTAATAATTTTGTTAAAACGTGTGCCCCAAGCCAGGGATTTCCAGACTTCTGACCAGTTCCTTACCACTAAGAAAACATTCAAGAGGACACTAAGCAAAATCACTCTGGGATTATTACTTTAAAGTTTTTCCGCAAATTTTAGTCTCCTTGATTAGTTTGGAATAGAGCACCTCAGGTTGGGAGGAATCTTTCTGCCTGGTAAGAGGCAAACCTAAAGTCATCTTAGTTAAAAGCAGACTGATTGACTGACCTCCTTGGCTTCTTTCCTCCAGGTTCATGTCCGATTGCTCTAGCTAGGTTCCACTATTTGAATGTCAAGAGAAAGATGATTCTTCCCAGTGCTTGTTACTAGTATGCCTATTTTGATTCTTATTTGGTCATTATGTCAAGCAGGAAGCATTCTCAGGCCTTCAGCAATATAGCAATACCAAAGCTCCCCAAAGAAAAACCAAAGACTGGTATTTCCAAAAGACCGAATCCAAGGAGATAACTTGCCACGTTTTTGTGCATGTATTTCATCATACCCAAACCTGGGCCTCCTGATACCTACCTAAAACCAATAAATGTTACTGCTTGTGGTTCTCATCTTAAATAGAGAGGGAGGAGAGAACGCAACTTGTTGGACTTTTGTATCACCCCTTGCCCCTACCCTGTGTTTGGAGTATGCCACTAATGTGTCAAATAATCTTTACAGAAATCACTGCACAGTCAGATGCCAGTGAAATTCGACAGGACTGGAAACCTACATTCCTTAGTAATGAAGAATTTACACAATTAATGTTAGAGGTATGTCTAGATTTAATTTTTGAAAAGTTTGTTTTCCTCAAAAAAATCATTGAGGTGATGAATATTAGTATGGTTTTAACAATATTAATTTAATATTGGAAAGTCTTAGTTCCCTGATATGTATAAGTAAATAGTACTGTGTGGTAAGGTAGTGTTAAATTTTTATATTTTTTAATATTATATGATTTTTGAGAGGTTTAGTAAAAGTCAGAAACCTATAGTTATCAAGTTCTCTACCTGAGGCCACTAACAACATTCAAGTGAAGAATAATGTATTTTATTCATCACATGTTAAATATTATTTATGCCCAGGTAGCCCTGGCTGGCTCGGTAAAACCTGAGACTCCTGATCTCTGGGTCATGAGTTTAAGCCCAATATTGGCTATAGAGATTACTTAAAAATAAAGTCTTTAAATATTATTATGAAATGTATACTACTGGACCAAGGATCATTTTTAACAAGTTGAAATTCACCTAAATACAATGTGGAATGATAATAAATGAAGTATTTTGGAAATATTAAAACATTGAATATACATCGAAAGACAACCTTTCTTAATTCAAGTAGAAACTTCTAAAAGGAAATAAGTGTTCTGTAACAAAATTATTTTTGAAAACAATTCAGAACGTGCTTGCTTGTAATTGAAAAAACTCAATACCTCATACAGTCAATTATAAAATCCACAAACATTTTGAGTCACTCATATCTATCAATTTTACTTTTCTACTTTTTAATCATTTCCTGTGTAGAATAATATAGGTATCATCTCTGTATACAAAGTACACAGCTCATTATCAAATTTCCATGAAAACTTAAATAGGAAACGGAGGTGGTATACTTTGGCAATAACAGTTAAGGACAAGAAAAATAAACTCTTAACAAAGTAGACATAGAGCTGAAGAAAGCAGTCGAGATAGAGATGTTAGAGATATTCTAACAGAGATAATTTACATCTCTTAAACCCTGTTTGTTTGGATATATTATTTTAGACCATAAGCATTTATCTATGTCATGTATATATGTGTAATGACCATATTGCAAGTGTCTTTGTATATCAGCTAAAGTCTAAAGCAATGTAAGATACTTTGGAAATTAATGAGTTATTTTTTTGTTGATACTTTAGATAGTTAATTGCTGGATTGCTTAGGTACATATTCAGTAGAAATGTTACCATATGAAAATCTGTTGGACTGTAAATATATATATATATATATATATTGCTGTGCTTTAAATCTGAACAGTAATAGAACATATTTCACATATTAACTCAATGAATGCTCACAGTAATCTTATGAAGTAGAGTCTGTTAGTATCCCTTTCTTACTTGCCTCAGATGAGGAAATCGAGGAACAAAGGGATTATGTTACCCAAAACAGAGGAAGTAGCTCAGCTAGGATTCACTGTAGCCTCTCAGCTCCATAGCCTGAGCCTCTGTGCACACTGCCACTCATGAAACTTCTTTTCAGTGAAAGCTAGCCCAAGAACAGATCTTGTAGCTCAAAAACCAGCAACTGGGTCTTTAAATTAGCGGACACTTTAGTTACAAACCAAATAATAGTCTGTAATTTTAAGGGTCTTTTTCCTCTAAAAGGTAAGTGTTCTTCTGTAACAAAATTGTTTTATTACTTCTAGAGTTTATAGGAGTGGTCTGTAATAGCCTTCTGATCATCTTCTCATCACTAAACTCATTGAAGTTGTCCAAAATTATCTTGTTAGATATAAGTAATGTGTTTATGAAAGTGTACACACATCCTAATGTCTAAACAGAGAAAGGAAATAACTCACTTAATCACTCCTTAATTTTTGTTTTATGATTATAACCTCAACGCAGTGGTTTAATAAGCTCTTCTATATTAATCATAAAGTACCCACTCTACTTTATTGGTGTGAAACATTTCTTACACAAATTTGTATAATATCTTCACTTGTTTCTTAATATCTTAATGAAGGTAAATTCCCTAATAGGCTATACAGAGAAGTATTGTCTCCAAATTTTCTTTACACTGGTCAGATTTTTTTATTATTATTTGTTAAGACATAGTAGTACATAACATAGGTAACTACAAAAAAATAAATAAATTTGGAAATTAGAACATTGTCACATGCAACAGAGAAAATTGGAACATATTAAAAATTTTTGAAAATATGAATTGTCTTATTATCCTTGCAACTTTTAAGATTACTAAAAAGTGTTACATTTATTTATTTATTAATAAGGACATTTTTGCTTTTTAATGAATATTAACAGGTACTATATATTAACTTTACATATACATATACAATATATCTACTACTATATATTAGCTACTATATATTATATATGTTCTAACATTAATATGCCAAGATATGTACAAGATACAAGGAGGACATGTATAAATGTGTATATATATTACAACCTTGGTCCACCTAACCTAGTTGTGTTACTGTTGGCCACTTGTGTTGATTAGATTACAGACAAGCAGTCCTGAAAGCATTTTCAGCAGAATTTTAAATATAGGCTCTATCTTAGAATATTAGAGCTGCTAGTAGAAGATATTAAATCATTCAGCTCATTTTATGGATGAGGTTCAGAAAAGTTGCAGCTTGTCCAAGGTCCGGTAGCTAATTAATTTCAAAACTGGGAAACTTACAACTTCTGTGTTGGCTGTTTCTCACCTTTCCTCCATTGCCACCTGTCTGTTTCCCTTTTATCTTTATTGCCTGAGGAATATTCCTTCTCATCCTTGGGAGGGAGGGGGGGTAGCTTGAGAATTGTCTAGGAAATCAGGAGGATTTAGGCTGATCAGCTCTTTCTACAAAGTTGTATCTATGTGAAATAATCTCCTAGTATGTACCTCATTCCCCTTGGCAGCTGGCCTCTCTCTCCAGTAATTTATAAGGGAAGGGCTAGTGCCTTGTCAGCCTTATCTTAGATACAGATCCACAAGGAGGTACTGTCCCTTTCTCTAAACTTCCATTTTAAGTTTTTATTTTAATTCCAGTTAGTTAACATATAGTGTTATATTAGTTTCAAGTGTATAATATAGTGATAAAGCAATTCTGTATATTACCCATTGCTTATCAGAAGTGTACTCCTTAGTCCCCATCACCTGTTTAACCCCTTTTCCTACCCACCTCCCCTCTGGTAACCATCAGTTTGTTCTCTAGATATAAGAGTCTGTTTCTTGGTCTGTCTCTCTCTCTTTTTTCCTTTGCTCATTTGTTTTGTTTCTTAAGTTCCACATATCAGTGAAATCTTATGACTGACTTAGTTCACTTAGCATTGTACTCTATGGCTCCATCCATGTTGTTGCAAATGGCAGGATTTTATTCTTTTTTATGGCTGAATAATACTTCATTGTATATTTGTGTGTGTGTGGGTGTGTGTTTGTACATACATAAATACATACCACATCTTCCTTATTGGTTCATCTGTCAAATGGACACTTGGGCTGTTTCCATATCTTTGCTGTTATAAATAATGCCGCTATAAACATAAGGGTGCATGTATCCCTTTGAATTAGTGTCGTATTCTGTGGGTAGATACCTAGTAGTGTGATTGCTTGATCATGGGGTAGTTCTATTTTTAACTTTCTAAGGAGCTTCCATACTGTCTTCCACAGTGGCTACACCAGTTTGCATTCCCACCAACAATGCAAGAATGTTCCATTTTTCTCCACATCCTTACCAACACCAGTTGTTTCTTGTGTTGTTGATTTAGCCATTCTAACAGGTGTAAGGTGATATCCCATTGTAGTATTGATTTGCATTTCCCTGATGATAAGTGACGATGAACATCTTTTCATGTGTCTTTTGGCCATCTGTATGTTTTTGGAGAAGTGTCTGTTCATGTCTTCTGCCCATTTTTTTAAATTGGTTATTTGGTTTTGGGGTCTTGAATTTTATAAGTTCTTTATATATTTCGAATGCTAACCCTTTATCAGATAATGTCATTTGTAAATATCTTGTCCCCTTCCATAGGTTGCCTTTTAGTTTTGTTGATTATTTCCTTTGAAAAAGCTTTTTATTTTGATGTAGTCACTATAGTTTATTTTTGCTTTTGTTTCTCTTGCCTCAGCAGACCTATCTAGAAGTTTGCGATGGCTCATATCAGAGAAGTTGCTACCTATTCTCTCTTCTAGGATTTTCAAGTCTCATATTTAGGTCTCTAATCCATTTCAAATTTATTTTCGGGTATGGTGTAAGAAAGTGGTCTGGTTTCATTCTTTTGCATGTTGTCCAGTTTTTCCAGCAGTGTTTGCTGAAGAGACTGTTTCCCATTGGATATTCTTTCCTGCTTTGTTGAATATTGACCATATAATTGTGGGTTTATTTCAGGGTTTTCTATTCTGTTCCATTGATCTGTATGTCTGTTTTTGTGCCAGTACCCTACTGTTTTGATTCCTACAGGTTTATACTGTAACTTTAAGTCCAGAATTGTGAGGTGTCCAGCTTTGCTTTTCTTTTTCAAGATTGCTTTGGTTATTTGGGGTCTTTTGTGGTTCCATACAGATTTTAGGATCATTTCTTCTAGTTCCATAAAAGTTGCTGTTGGTATTTTGATAGGGATTGCATTAAATGTGTAGATTGCTTTGGGTAGTGTAGACATTTTAACAATATTTGCTTTCCCAGTCCATGATCATGGAATGTCTTTCCATTTCTTTGTGTCACCTTCCATTTCTTTTGTAAGTGTTTTACAGTTTTCAGAGCATAAGTCTTTGATCTCTTTGGTTAGGTTTATTCCTAGGTATCTCATTAATTTGGTGCAATTGTAAATGGGATTGTTTTCTTAACTTCTCTTTGTGCTGCTTTATTATTGGTATCTAGAAGTGCAGCAGATTTCTGTAGATTGATTACTGAATTAGTGTATCAGTTCTAGTGATTTACTGTATCAGTTTGTTGGTGGAATCTTTTGGGTTTTCTATATACAGGATCATGTCATCTGCAAATAGTGAAAGTTTTCCTTCTTTCTTACAGATTTGGATGCCTTATATTGCTTTCTGTTGTCTGATTGCTGTAG